CTCCTGGGTTCAGGCAATTCTCCTGCCTCAGCCTCCTGAGTAGCTGGGATTACAGGCACGTGCCACCATGCCCAGCTAATTTTTTGTATTTTTAGTAGAGACGGTGTTTCACCATGTTGACCAGGATGGTCTCGATCTCTTGACCTCGTGATCTACCCGCCTCGGCCTCCCAAAGTGCTGGGATTACAGGCTTGAGCCACCGTGCCCGGCCGCTACCTCTAAGCTTCTGTAAGCTCATTTGTAAAATGAGAATGATGCATTTTTGTTGTTATTTGCTTTAAAATGCTTTGAAAATGTAAGTGGTATATAAATACAATTTAGTAATTAAAAAAAATTCTTAGTTAAGGAGGAAAAGAAAAAGAGGACTTTATCAACCCTAAAAAAGTTTCAGTATATATGAATTAAGCTTTGAAATCTTTATTTTTTGAGATTAAAGCCATTAATTTTTTTTAAGGAAATAATATACACATTTTTTTTTTCAGAGGAAGTTGTTACTTTTTGCTTTTATATACCCACTGTTTTCTAGAGCCTAGGTGATGACTAGTAGTACATTTTTATTTAATCAACATTCTGTTTTCTTTCAGGACTGAAAAAATCCAGTTCTCTGGAGAATGAGAACCTTCAAAAGCTTTCATTAGTAAGTAGAACCCAGGTTCCACTTATTACTTTGCCACCTACTGATGGACCACCTGACTTAGACTCTCATTCATATATGATCAACTCTAACACATGTGAGTCTTCTGGTTCCCCCAAGCTCAACTTGTGTGAAGAGTCAGCAGTTCTTTCTTTTAGTGTTGAGCCTGAGGATCATAATGAAACCTCTTTCTGTGGAGAATCTAGGGAAGTGACTCTAGGGGATGTTTCACTTCTCACCAATATATCTACTCAGAGCAAGTGGCTGAAATATCAAAACACATCCCAATGCATCGTGACTACTCCAGACAGAGTTGATAAGAGAATGACCAATGGCTTCTTTGCCGAGGCTATTTCTGGGATGCATTTTAGAGATACAAGTAAAAGACAGAGCGATGCTATCAGTGAAAGCTCTTTAGACTCTGTGCATTTGCAAATGATAAAAGGCATGCTCTGTCAACAGCAGCAGGATTTTAGCAGTCAAGATTTGGTTTCCAGAAAGAAAGTACTTTCTCTGAATTTAAAGCAGACTTCTAAGACAGAGGAAATTAAAAATGTATTAGGAGGGTCTACCTGCTACGACAGTGTAAAGGATTTACAGGTGAGGAAATGTACCAGCCTTGTAATGCATTTTTCCAAAAGTTATTGTCTGAATTTCAGTAAAAGAATTACCAAAATATACTGCATCAGAGTGATTTGGACAGATGGCTTTTATTTGATCCTAACTCTGAGCTATAGTTACATTACTTTCTTTTACTTAAAATCTCTCCTAATCTTAATGAACATGGAATGAAATGATTTATTTGAAAGTACCTGGTGCAGTGTCTGACACATAATCAATATTTAATAAGTGATAGTTCCTATTTCTGTTTTTGTCACTACTACTGATTGTTTTTAATGATTAAACGATTGTTTTTACTGATTTAATGATTGTTTTTACTTTTGACTCTCAATTGTGTTTGCTGATTAAGTGATCAGTAGGGTAAAGGTGTTATCTTATTTCACATTAGTTGTGAATAATCCTTATTATAGTCATAACCAGAAATAAAGATACATAATGATCCATTCACATCAGTTAACTTTTTCTTAGCAAAAAAGATATAAAAACTTATTAAGGGGCAGATAAGAAAAGTTGCTCTTATTTAGGGTTAAAAGTGCCATTAATAGGTTTTCTTGCTATATTTGGTTTCTCATTTAAAATTTGAAAGTAGTTTTCAAGGATCCTAGAAATCAAAATAAAATAATATTTTTTAAAAATATGTCTATGGGCCGGGCGCGGTGGCTCAAGCCTATAATCCCAGCACTTTGGGAGGCCGAGGCGGGTGGATCACGAGGTCAAGAGATCGAGACCATCCTGGTCAACATGGTGAA